AGCGATCAGTGAAGTTCGCTTCTCACTGTATCTCACTGTACAATGATGATGATGATGATATGCGGGGTCGATCGGATTGGGTGATGAAGTTTTTACACTGACTCAAGTTTCCATATATGTGACTAGCCAGTGAGGAACGCTGTATGTCAAACTAGGAATACAAGGAGGGTGAAACAAAGTGCACTGAAGCAAAATTCAGTCGAATAGTACCGGGACGGTAACAAAGGTGTAGTATGCCGGATCGATCCCTGATAGATTGATTCCTGACAACACAGTTCGAGTTCTTATACAATTAGTGTCTTCACAAAAGGCCGCACAATCACTGGTTACTGACTGAAGCTCTTAATACACAGGTGCGATACACTTCTCACAATAGGTTCTCCGTGGAGGGGACTTCCAGATAAGATAAGGAAAATACAAAAAGCAACCATGAATCAAAAGGTCCAGTGAGACATGTACACGACTGACAATCAAATCAGATTGGCTGCGCCTGTGTCTTCACTACAAAAGGGGACAGTGAAGGAAAAGGAGAGGGAGAGAGCACAACTGACCTGAATGAGACTATCGACCTTCGGGTTCGCACGCCAGTCTCGAGTAGAGGGTGATTTGATTGGCTTTCGTCGTAGTTCTAACCGTGTTCGTTTGTACAGACCACCAGCTTCCATGGTCTCACCTCGATTTATGACAACAAATTCGCCGTATGTGGCAGTCATCGGGGTGGACGGGTCATCCGAGCTAAGGGAATCCGTTTTTTTGCCGGGTTGTGTATCGCTCAGAAGGCCGAGGGATTTGGACGGCCAATACGGAGAACATTTGATTCGTTGACCTTCCACAATTCTGGAACAAAACAGTGGAGAGACGAATGATCTTGGTTATGGCAAAAAAAGATGTTGCGGTACTGCTGACAACCATAAAAGTAGTAAGTTTCGAATTAAAGTTTACGCATGGTATATACAGACGTTTGGACCAAGATGAACAATCTTATTATTAGAAAAAGATGGAGAGGATGAGTGTCGCTTAGAAATTGCGCTGCAAGCTTTGGATCACTTTCCGAGCCCCGATAAATTGTCTGAAGCATGTGAAATGTGTCTGGCGCATTTGTTGGGCACGGACGAAAAAGCATACACTATAGGTCAATAGTTGGACTGAGTGAGTCCCCCATATTGTCACTGCTTGGAGTGATGCTCGATGATGTGTGACTGAAAGATTTTCATATCACAAGTGTTTCGAGTCCGGGTCTCATGCAATCCGATAGACCAAAACGTGAAATCGGACCAATTGTCAATGAGGACAGGAGGTCTAGGCAAAGTTAAAGGCTATTTGAGTAAGCATAGGAAAAATGCTGGTGAATGTAGCTCAGTGATTAGCGTAAGCAATGTATCCAAGAAAATGCACACATCAAGGAAGTTTATCTCATTAGTATTATCAGTATTATCTTCGCTGTAAAGCAATATGCAGCGACGCGACCACTAATACAATCCCGCCAAGCTCACAATGAAGGCAATGTAAGCCAGAATGAACGAAATTCGGTTGGGAACTATGCCGGCTTTGAGAGGAGGAAAAGAAATTGCTCAACGCAACTGTGCACAGAAATCTCTCCAAATATTCTGGACTGATTGGACATGATAACCCGAACACCACTGCTGTCAGTTCACTATCATATCCTTCGATGTCTCTAACCAACCATTCAGAGTGTTCTGGATTCAAACCGGAAGAAAGGAGATACCTATTTTATCCGATCACTTGGTGCATTTGATGACGTCAGTCGTTGACCTAGACCTGATTTCCTCCGTCTCGGAGTGACGACGGCCATACATGAGCAATAAATCTTCCGGTCAGCGATGCCTACTTGATCGAACAAGGCGTGACAACGAATTATCCACTGGATCAATCCTAAGTATACGGCGGCTTAAACTAGCGTTGCTAAACCTTTAGCTCCGTCCTACCTGCGTCAATCTACGTAACTATTCACAGCCGACTTCCTCCGGACGGTGAACATCATCCACACCTTAACTCGGAGTATCACGACTTTAAAACACAATTGACAACAAAGGGGTGCAGTGAATACAACCTTCTAATTTCAGAAACATCACGTCGGTGCCAAAGGTATTCCAGTAGTGCCTTGTATTGCATTCAGGTCACTGAATTCTATTATGGACCATATCTCTTACTGTCGCTAACCAACGACAATCCCCATACCTTAGACCCCATCTGGAAGGCGGGCCGCACCAAGTGAAGCTAGCTGCATGATCAGACCGCCGCAACGCCTCTTCCAGGCTTGCCCAGCACGTACAAAGAGAGCAGGGACCAAGCCATCGAAGGCGGTGTAGAGCGATTATTTTTTTTAGAGAACGATTATCCCAACCCAACACATGACGACGAACCTCGTCATTGCTCATCCGATGTTCCCACCAGGCACGAGCAGTGCTTCGGAGAAATCGGTGGTCGAATACAGAAAGTCAATTCGCATCTTCAACTCGGAGAGGCCAGGTCTCGCAATCGTGAAGTAGAACTCTACTAATCGCGGCGATGTACACCCCTTAGAGGATAGTCGGATGTCATGGCGGCGCCACAGGTGTCGCAGGTTGACGAAGTCTGCTCTGGCTTAAGCTATTCCTGATGTGATCTCCTTTCCAACACCACTGCCACCAGCTGCAATCAAACTCCCGAGGTACTTAAAACTCTCGACCACTTCCACGTGATCACCACAGAGGGTGAGTGCAGGCACAGGCTCCTGCCAGTCCTGAATAAGCACTTTACACTTGGACGGCACAAAGTACATACTATAATTAGATACCTCGATCACCAAAAGGTTCAAAGAGTGTTGGACTGCCTGTGTGTGTTGTCACCCAGCAAGGCGATGTCATCGGTATATTCCAAGTCAAGGACTTTGTTCCCTGGGGGGAGTCCAACTCCACCAGACCGGACAAAGTATTCTGTCGAATATCCTCCATGACAAAGGTGAGAAGGAATGGGGTATAGGCCAGCCATTCCGAACTCCACTGGGGACGGCGAAGAATAGCGAAAGCTGGTCATAGGCTCTAACCCGACCTGAGGTATGACGATACAACTCTGAGGATCGACACATACATCTCAGTTACTCCAGACCAATCGACATAGTCAGAGACCACGCGGATGTCTGAGAATGCAATGATCGTTCGTTTCTGATGGGTATGATGGTGCTCTAGCAACCGTCGGAGAGTGAAGATTTTTACCGATGCATCGAAACATTGAACGACTTTCTTCTGAATCGGCGGGAGAGTTCTATAATTTCCCAACAAGACAACTCGACAACCATGAGAGTCCCTGAAATCCGTGCAATGTTCGTTGTATCCAATTGGTCAGCAATCAATGAACGGTCCACTTACAAGCCCGGTTTGGAATTCCAGTGAAACTGTTGTCTCAGGTTTGTTGGCTAGGTGAGGCTAAGCAAAACGGAAGAATCTTCAACGGTTGTCCGAGAGAATTGTGATTTACAATCCACAATATATGACAGAAAGTCTAAATCAAAACCATCCAAAATCTTTTCGTGTGTATGAATCATATTTTTCATTCTGATGAAGAATAACAGTTGCGTTTGATTACCAGGTGTTTGTTTGGATTATTCAATTCAATGAATGGGTGGGGAGGAGCAACTGTTTTCTTGTATTTATTAGGCATATCATCCCAAATCGTATAAATCAGTTTCGAACGGTCAAAGTTTAAATTTTTGTATGCGCGGCAAGTATGCAAATTCTCATGATTCTACTCGTTTGTGATAAGCTGAGGAACGAGAACAGCATTTTTTCGCACTATGTATATATCGGTCAGAAATGATCCAGAGGGGATTACGACGTTACAACCTCTCAGTGATCTAGTCGTCTGATCGAGAGTTCCGCAGATCCAAGTACTCACTCACTAGTTTTGTGAGTGATTCAAGTGCTAGTATAGTGTGTATTCAGTACACATTTTGTCATGCTGAAGCGTAAAACAATGTGACAGGAACGGGTTGGGTCAGCCCTTCAGTTCACCCTAGCTGAGGCAGCAAACTAAGTTTGTTAAGCGGACAGCTGCTACATTTCACCTGGTGGACAAAATTCGGATAAAGTTTCGACAGGTCGAGCGCTGGCCTGCTTGAGAAAACTTTGTCTTTGTAACGATACTCGGTAGTCAATAAAGTGTCGAGTATGGTACAGCTATCCGACAAACACTTTACCGCTACAGGTGAAGGATAAGAACAGACGTTCGAACACTGCTGCTGTGCGCGCAGCATTGCACGACTCTAGTGTAACAGTGGAATAAACAACAGCCAGATTAGACGAGGAGATAGCGGAAATCGAAGTAACGCACTGGTGCAAGAGATTGGCCATCACAGATTGCAAAATCTGAGACATGTTACAAATATCACCGAATAGTGTTCCTCAGTATGCGACGTTCACCTAGATAGGTACTAGGTACGGAGAAAGTCGGGGGTTTATTAAACTATGGCCTGGCATGAGGGTTTAAAAAACTCTGATCAGAGCTGTCGATCATGTGAATCACATGGTGCTCCCACATTTGATGTCTTTCACTTGCCCGTTGATCATTATTCGACCAAATGGGTAGCCGAAAGATTCAACTAACATCTGGTTATACAAACAGATATGCGGGGCCAGGAACACCCGAAGCCGCACATTAAAATCTATTCTCAAATTGCACAGACGGAGACGGTTCGTATAATGGCTATCGCACGTGGCACCAGATGAACTTCCCAGACAGGTGATATTAGTTGAAACAAGGATTGGTTGGAGACCGTGCAAAAGCTAGTCAGTTCGTGATCTGAGCAAAAAAAAAAAAACAAATAAGGGTCAATTTGTCAGTTCTTGGGTAGCACGAAATCGATCCACCGACCTTGCCTAACTGAGAGCTAGAGAGGAAAGAGGCACGCGGTGTGACGATGCTTGTGCGCCCCGTCTGTTGTATCAACTGCTAACTTTCACCAATTTCACCATCATACAGACAGTGCCAGTGTGCCAGCTTCAGTTGATACAATCAATGATCCCGTACATTTGTGCACCGAGGTTTGGTTGCAGTCGTTCAACTGCCATTACACATTTCACCGTGAGAACTAACAAAATGAAAACAATAAAATGCGAATAGAAAGCAAGTAGATGTATGCGCAGCGCACCACTGTTCCCGATAATCAACCATATCTCTTATATCGGTTTTCGGCTGGTTTTGAGGTAACCAGCCCAATAGACATACATGACCAGTCCTGGTCTCCTTCTAAGTGCTCTCATCATCAGTCTCACGTCGAGAAGGTCCATTTGGTGCTAAGTGTGTAACGATTGCGTATCGATAGGTCATCCGAGAATTCTCTATCAGGAAAGATGCGGTTGGTGAGTAGCAAAACGGATCCGCAGTATCTTTTACCACCCCAGTTACACCACGATGGGTGGTGGTGGTGAAGTGGTTTAGTCGCTGTCGCCGGCGTGCTTTGAATCCTGTGGTACGNCCACCCACCTCTGTGGTAGGCAGCTTTGCTATCGCCCGGTTCTATACCACGACTGAGCAAGTAGGGTTTTATGTGGTTCACAACCACCCGGGGCCTAGGTTGCCGGTTAGTACCAATGAACAGTAGTTTTTCGTGGCTATGAGGTCGGCCCCGCCTGCTATTCATCACACACTGATGTGTAGTAAAAAAGTGATTGTGAGCTGGGTCAATTCGAACGGGAATAGCGAAAAACAGCAGAAAGAAAAAAAAACAGAACAATAGACTGTTCTGATCGAATTACATTCAATAAAAAAGGTAGCAGATAAGAAAAAAACAAAAACAAATACCTACTTGGTAAGCATCACAATCACGGGAACACGATATTCCCAAACGGCCATCCAAAAATCCCTTCGGGTATTGTCCAAAGGACCTAAAACCGAAGGATAACGAGGGCAGGAGGGTGTGAATAGTGGATAAAAAAATGACTGAGTTATAATCAAATCCTCTATTACACACATGAAACAAGTAGTCAGGTTGTGATTATTTCCAACCGAATCATTACCCCAGAGGCTAGTGTTGAGATGAGCGAGGTCCGTGGCCCGTAATGAGCTCGCAAAGATGGGGTTTGCTGTATCGTGTAAATGGAAAATGAAAAACGGTCTGATCAGCTGCCCACCGGTGGCCGAGAGGGTAGCATGCTTGCGTTCTACCTGTGAGGTCCCGGGTTCGGTCATCAGTTGGGTCGATATATTCGCATTGCTACTGATGAGACCCAGCCAGGTCGAAACAGCTGTCCAGTGCTTCCTAGCTTTTTAGTTTACGCTTTATTTATTCTATACACGACGAATTCATTCTATGAAATTAAACCGAATCCTCCATTACACACATGGAAAAATGATTGAGTTGTAAGCTAGCACACTGTGACATACGTATTCAAACGAGAACATGTGAAATAAGGGGTGCATTCCGAACGGGTAGTACGTTTCTATCAATATACGCCTGTCATTTCTCCTGTGCGTGAACAGGCAGAGAGAGAGAGATAGATAACTAGGAAATCTAATTGACCATCAATATAGCCGTGATTGCAGAGTAACAGGCGACTGGGGGAAGTATTTTCAATGACAAAATTGTGTTTACAAATAACGGTGCGATTTGTCGACAAACCGAACGTGTTGCAGTGCAACAAAACTTAATGCTAGCAGCTTATGACATCAATAAGTGACACACACACACACACATTCAATCGCTCGCAGTCACGAATGTGCACTATAAATATAGCCACATATGATGTGCGCTCGGAACCCCCGTGGGACCAGAAATAGCAACAGTCGATAAATAGACAGACGAAACCGTAGGAATTATGATGATTAAACTCCAATCCGATCAATGCAGTGAGATTTGTAAACGGTGAACTAACTACGTCAAAGATATTACACATGTACTCTGCTGTATCCGAAGTTGAGCGGGTATGTGGTGGTACACCGGAGTTATCATCTATCGGATTGTACGAATCCCTTTTGGACCATTCAAAGCTTCGAAGCCTCATGGGAGTATATCTCAAATGTGTCCCTTCACCACACACATTTGTTGATTTCCGTCTGGATCTTTGGACCATGAAGTATTCTCTCTCTCTCTCTCTCTCTCTCTCTCTCTGTTTAGAATTTTTGCGTATCCGCGACGTCATATTCGCCGGCGTGTGAATGCTACCTACGGTTGCGTGAACGTATCTTCCTGAAATATATAACCGACGATGGCCGGAATGCGGTTAGCCAGTTCGGACAGGGATTGACCAGTGATTAGGACGCGATTGACGTATATCCATGCAGAACTTAATGTGAGTGGCGCCACATTATGATTCTTGCTAAACAGCCTCATTTCTCTTTCATCTTCTTCGGGAGGGGGGGGGGGTTCTCATTTCTGG